ACGACTCGACGGCACTTAACAACAACAAGTATGTCAAAGCTAAACATAAGGTATACTCGGCGCACTTTACTGTATGTCAATCTTATCTCAAGCAAAACCAGAAACAAACCCACCACCAAGTTGAAAGCTGTGAAAAAAATTTTTGTTTAAATGGGAAACAGCAGTCCTGTAAGGCCAAACAATGGAAACAATTTCTCCCCCCCTCCTTTTTTTTTGTAAACCTTTATTGTGATTTGGGTGGAAGTTCACAGAGCATATCAGTTTTCCATTCAACAATTCACACACATTTTGTTTCACATCATTGACTGCAATCACCTCAATGTAATATCACCCCTCTTACTCCTTCTCTATGTTTTTTGCTTCCTTCCTCTTTCTCTCCTAACCCTTCCTGCCTTCTGAACTTTGTTCTTGGCCAAATGCTGCCCTTTTGATCTCATATGGTTGATTTAAGAGTATGTACCTTCCTAGAATTACTGTTTGAAAATTGAGCCATGGGAGTGAGTTCAGTTCCAGGTCTGAAGGGTGACTGAGGGCCATCGCCTTGGGGGTTTCACCAGTCTAGCCAAACAGTAAGCCTGGTCTTTTTTATGATTTTGAGTTTTGTTCCACTTTTTTATCTGACTCTATCCAGGACCTTCTAATGTGATCCCTTTCAGAGCAGTTAGTAGTGGTAGCCGGGTACCATGTAGTTCTTCTGATCTCAGGTTCCTAGAGGTTAAGGTTAATGTAGTCCATTAGTCCCTTAGACTAATTGTTTCCAGGTGCTTTTGCTTTTCTTCACTCCTCTTCACTTGAGATGGGGAGAGACCAATAGTCAGACTTAAGATGATTGCTTGCAAGATTTGAAGACCCTAGTTACTACTCAGGAGCTCTGGTAGCATAGTGCCTAAGGCACTTGACTGCTAACCAGAAGACTGGCGGTTCAAACCCACCATGACTCCTCGGAAGGAAGATGGGGCAATCTACTTCCATAGTGATACTCGGAAACCCAAGGAGGGCTCACTATGATTCGGGTCCGACTCAATGGCACATAACAACAACAACAGTTACTACTCATCAAAGTAGGATGTAGAACACTGTCTTTGTGAACTATGTTGTGCCAAGTGACCTTCATATCCCCCAAGATGATGGTCCTGAGTCCCCAGGCCCAATCTCTCAGGGTTTTTGGTTACGGTTAAGTTTTCATAGGTTTGCCCTTTGTTGTTGTTGTTGTTATGTGCCGTCGAGTCAAACCTGACTCATAGCGACCCCTCCTTGGGTTTCCAATATGATCTACTATATTCATGAAAATAGCTGCAGCGTATGTAAATACATATATAGAAATATTCTGTCAAACATATATATACATATATATTTATACTTGTTGACAAAGTCCCGTTCTTCTTCCCACACCTATTCAGCTTTCATATCTACCTATGGAGCCACTCTTAGATTTGTGTATTAGTATTTACCTCTGTTCTCTTTAATTCTTGTACTTCTCTCAGAATCTTCCTTTCCTTTTTTTTTTTTTTTTTATGATTTGGGTGAAAGTTTACAGAGCAAATTCGTTTTCCATATAGTTTGTATGCATTTTATTTCATGACATTAACTACAATCCCCATAATGTAACAGCTCTCTTCTTACTCCTCCCTGTAGTTACCTCTTCCCTGTGTCCTTCCTTACTATGCACTCCTGCTCTCTGAGCTACCTCCCTGTGCAAATACTGTCCTTCTGATCTCCCATGATTGATTGTTCTAAAGAATGTACCTACCTGATGTAAATGTTCACCTTATATGCCTATTGTCTGGCTGGAAGCCATGGGAGTAAGTTCAATTCCAGGCCTGAAGGGTGACTAGGGGCTATAGTCTCAGGGGTTTCATCAGGGTCTATCAGACAAGTAAACCTGGTCCTTATATGATTTTGTGTCTTGTTCCACATTCCTCTCCCACTCTATCCACGATCACCTGCAGTGATCCCTTTCTGAGCGGTAGCTGGGCACCATCTAGTTCTTCTGGTCTCACGGTCATACAGGCTGAGGTTTGCATGGTCCACTAGTCCCCTGGATTATTTCCATGCATCTTTGGTTTTCTTCATTCTTCTTTGCTCTGGATGAGGAGAGACCAACTATTGCATCCAGATGGTCACTTGGCAAGCTTTGAAGACCACATGCTACTCACCAACACAGGATGTAGAACAATGCTTTTGTGTCGTATGTTATGCCAATGGAGCCTGATGTCCCCTGCAACCATGGTCTCAAGCCCACAGGTCCAACAACTTGCTCCCTCAGTGTAGCTGGCTGTGGCTAAGAAGTTATCATAATTTTGCCCCATTACTTCTATATCTATGGACATTCTTATAGCACATACAAATACACATGCAGAAATATCATCTGCTAATCTTATATATAGGAGCTCTGGTGGCACAGTGCCTAAGGCATTTGACTGCTAACCAGAGGGCTGGCAGTTCAAATCCACCAGCCACTCCTCAAAAGGAAGGCTGGGCAATCTACTTCCGTAGTGACTGTCTTGGAAATCGAAGGAGGGGTCACTATGAGTCAGATCCAACTCAACTGCAGTGTCTGTTGTTTTGTTTTGTTTTTGGTTTTGGTTTTTTTTGGTCTGGAACCTTACATATATGTTCATGGGTCTATTCCCTTTTGCCTAGACATATCTAATCATTCAGCCTGTATCTACTTGCAGATTAATGTTTATTATTACTGATAATGCAGTACTGTGTACGTGAAAGTGTTTAACTTTGTTATCTGAACCTCCTGTTCATCTGTCTGTCTTCCTTTTTCTTAGTGTTATTGTGTTGGCCATTCGCTTTTGCTATTGCCTTTCCCTTCACCCAAATCAATACTTGACTCTACCTATCTAGCAGTGTTTCCTCCCTTCCCCTCCCATGCCTGGTAACCAACAAAAAAAGTTTCCTTCCATATATAAACCTTTCCTTGACTTTTTATAATGATGGATTAATATTTATCTTTCTGTGATTGACTTATTTCACTCAGCATAATGTCCTCCAAGTTCATCTACGTTATGCAGTGTTGCACAGGTTCCAGACTATGCTTTAGTGCTGCAAGGTATTCCATTGTGCATATGTACCATGGTTTGGTCATCCATTCCTCCAATAGAATGGGCACTTAGGCTGTTCCCATCTCTTAGCTATTGTGAATAGTGCAGCAATGAACACGGGTCCTTTCCTTGAGCATTCTATACTAACCTTACCCTTATTGTCTATTGCCTTCCCCTTCACCCAAATTAGTATGTATCTACCCTCTAGTTAGTGGTTTACTCTCTTTTTCCCTCCCACCCCTGGTAACCTTCAAAGGATATTTCTATAAACCTTTTTTTTTTTTTTCTTTTTTACTTTTTACAGTAGTGGTCTCAGTGGGAACAATTTCTTTTTGAAAGACTTGATATTACCAACAGGCCATTAAAAGTCCAGTTCCACATTGATTCTTCTCTTAGGAAAGTACCCTCAAAGGGATTTCTTTATTATACACGTAGGACACAGATATCCCCATATCTTCTCTAATGGATAGGCATAGCCTAATTTAAAATCAACAGTTCATATGATAAGCATGATTAATATCTTGGGGGTTAAGTCAGTATCATCTCCTGTGGTTAGGAAATCCCTTCATCCAAGTCTCTCTTATTTTTAAATAACTCAATCACATCAATCAAAACAATACTTGAGTATTTTATCTATCACCTCAGAGTATTTAATGACTTGCTAAAAACTAGATTAATTAAACTATGTTTAATTAATTAAACCTTCCTTTTCATGAATTTCACAACTGTCATAATTGCAGTAACTTTATAATGTATGGCCACCATTTTGGCACCACCTTTCAGTCTCAGCTTCTAATGGCAAAGATTAAAAGATTAGCTTGTTTTCAACTAAGATCTACCAAGAATTTTTAGGCACTCCTTGCAGCAAAGGACCTCTTTAAAATATTGAAGAGCAAAGATGCACTTTGAAGACTAAGGTGTATCTGACCAAAGCCATGGTATTTTCAATAGCCTCATATGTATATGTGAGAGTTAGACAATGCATAAAGAAGACCACAGAAGACCTGATGTATTTGAGTTGTGGTCCTGGTGAAGAATACTGACTATACCATGGACTGCTAGAAGAATGAACAGATCTATCTTGTTAGTACAATCAGAATGCTCCTTAGACGAATGGCCAGACTTCATCTTTCACACTTTGGTCATTAGTCAGAAAGGACCAATCCCTGGAAAGGATTATCATGACTGGTAAAGTAGAGAGTCAACGAAAAACGGGAAGACCATCAACAAGATGGATCAATACAGTGGCTGCAATAATGGGCTCAAGCATGGCAATGATTTTAAGGATAGCACAGGACCAGGCAGTGTTGTGTTCTGTTGTACATGGGGTCGCTAGAGTCACAATGGACTGGATGGCACCTAACAACAATTAGAGTTCATTTTCCAGGTGCAAATATTTAGATTTCATTCAAAACTCTACCCTTTGCATACTCTTTGCATTTACTCAATCCTTAAAAGTTGGTGTTCTCCATGGTTGCATCCTCCACTGTCTTCTAGTCTCACTTATTACCATTTGTTCTCAAACTTCACAATCTCCTAGGAAACGAGTTAAAAAGGAGGCTTCCCAGTAGCATCAAATGTCAGTATAAGGAACACAGCTTGATCAAAGTAAATGATGTCACTAAAAAGCACACAACAGAAAAATGTTTGCGCTAAAATATATGACATCAACAATTTAGCAACATCAACGATAATCAAAAAATGAACGTATGGAAGTATATGACCATATATGGGTATGACATGGTATAGGTATATACATATGTGTGCACAAATGGAAGTATCTATATGTGTACATACAGATATGTGTGTGCATGCATTTATATTCATAGGAGACACAGTTACAAATACTTCTGAGATATAACCAAGCACACTGAGAGACTAGTTCTCTGGGTTTGAAGGCTCACGGATTTAGTTTCAGGAGACAGCTCAGTCAAGTGGCATAATACAGGTTATAAAGTTCATGTTCTACATCTTAATAAGATGACTACCATCTGGGATCTTAAAAGTGAGCAGCCATCTAAGATGTAACTATTGGTCTCTACTCATAAGAAGCAGGAGAGAAAAAAGGAAACTAAAGTCTCAGAGACTAATAGCCTACACAAGCCACAGCCTCATCTACCCTGAGACCAGAAGAACTAGATAATCCCTGGCTACCAATACTAACCTTTCTATCTGGGCCACAATAGGTAAACCTTAATAGAACTAGAGAAAAACACAGAATAGAACTCAAATTCTTAAAAAGTCCAGACTTACTGGACCAATCGAGACTAAAGGACTCCCTGAGGCTTTCACTCTGAGATACGCTAAACCTTTAACCAAAACTATCCTGAGGTCACCTTTTAGCAAAATAACAGATTGGTACACAAAATAAAGGATATACCCATGAGTACAAAGCTCCATTAAAAAACCATCTATATGGGGCCAACAGGTCAACAATTATTCTAAAGCAAAGATAAGGGGGCAGGGAAACTAGAGCACAGAAATAGAACCACCAGAACACATTTATAGAGAATACTGACATTGTGAAAAATCCACTTTACATCACCGAATAATTTGTATAAAAAATTTCAAATGGGAACTTTATTTGCTATATAAACTTTCACCAAAAAAACAGTAAAATATTATTTTTATAAAAATAAAATAAGGTTTTCCTTGACCCAACCCCAATGATTGTGACTCAGATCAATGGATGGGGACCTACTAATCTCTGTATTTTTAACTTACCCCTAGATGATTCTAAGATACACACTAAGAAGCACTGCTTTAACTACCTTCCTAGGAGATGTCATGAATGCTTTTATCTCATAGATGAATACATCATGTTTTCAATTACTTTTTACAGTTGATGGTTCTCAGTTCTATATTTTATACCAGATCTTCTCTAGGTCAAAATCCATTTTTGTTCCAAATGTTGGTCCTCATCCAGAAATACCTAATTCAATGAATGACACCAGCATCCATCTGATTGCCAATGCTGGAAGCCAATAGACATCCTATCTTCTTCCTGCTCACCACTCACCTCTTGTCATCAAAATCTATCATTCTCTACATACTGCTATCACCATAGACCACAATTCTTCACATCTCTTTGGCTACTGAAATAGCCTCTGAACTAGTTTCCCAGCACCCGTTTACAGTGCTGCCAAAGTGACCTTTCTAACATCAATATCTGCCCATGTCATTCTCTTGATTACAACTCTTCTTACCATACCCTTCATGATCTGGTCCTTGTAAACCTCCCCAACCTGCTTCCCTGCAATCCACTTATTCTCTATGCCAATGATATAGAACTATATACTTGCCATTCCATTAACTTCTTTTACCTGTGTATATTGTCTCTTCTGAAAAATCTCTTCTAACTGCATATTCAAACTTCAATTCCCTGCTGAGGACTGACCAACTCCAGTAAAAATCCTTTCCTTCCAAACTATCACTCCCCTTCCCTAATATTAAGCTCACATTTAAAAATATTTGTTACATGTTTACACAAATAACACAAGCATTACACAGGATCCCACCCCTCAACCACAAAGAACCCCTGTAAACCACACAACCCTGTCGGGCGTTAGTTTCCTATACATGATATGCAGGTTACATATGTATGCAGTATTAACATGGGCATGTTATATATAAGAAATATGGTACATATTGCACTATATTGTGTCAACCTATTTGACTACCTTCCCTTTTAGACTATTTTGTGTTTTTCATCTCTGTATTCCTAACCTAGTGTGTACAGCTGGCACATAGCAGATAGTCATTAAATATTATGCAAATGAATGAATCTTTTATAAAAGGAGTTTCTAGTTAATAGGGATCTTTCTTTTGTATTAACCATGGAAAAGCTTAACATACCCTTTTGAACTGCAGTGGTGAACAGGCATACCGTCCCCTGCACTCCTCAGAGTAGGGACCACCATCTCCATGGCATGGCTATGAATGGGCCCAGCACTGGTGAGTCATAGCATGTAGTGCAGTCTTTGTATGATCTCTATAGTTCATATGTAATCTTTTAGCTCCTGCTGCTGTCAATGGTAATAGTGATATTTTCAATGTAGAGTTTTATATAGTTGTGCCTTGCACTCCCTACTCCAGATT